CTTGTGGGAATTTGTGATATTGTTCTCTGTTGGTCAAAAACTTTTTGATCGATTACATTTTCTACAATTATAGATGTGTTGATCTCATTCCCTTCCCTTACTCCAATTGATAATCTAGACCAGTGTTTCTCAACCTTTTTTCAGTCAAGGCACCCTTTAAAATTATGGACAGTCCCGAGGCACCCTTTAAAATTATGAAAGTCTTGAAGCACCCCATTATAAAATGGGGTGTCTCAAGACTGTCCATAATTTTAAAAAGGGCACCCCTTTCTAAAATGTGAAAAACTATTCTTTAGTTTAATAGTTTTATATAAGTCAGCAACATCCACACATGTAGGACATCAAACATCAGATGTGATTTATTCTTCCAAAGCAAGAACACTTTTGAAAATTGGTACTGAGTTGTATTCCAGTGTTTCTCTTCTCCTTCAGTTTTTCTCCATCACTGAGCTAATGTGACCCCTGGTGTTGATGGAGAGGGGCAGGGCAGGGTCAAACTAGGATGCTGTGCAGGCAGCTGACATCCTCCTTATCAACTGATGATGCCATTGGTTGTCAGGACACAAGCGGCTAGAAGGTCATAATGGTGCACAATTGAAAACCTGTGGCTTTGTGTAACTAAAAGACAGGCTTGTTCCACCCGTTGGCTTGTATACAGGTTTTGGGCAATTTTTAGATATTTTTCCAAGGCACCCCTAAAGAAACCTCAAGGCACCCTGGATGCCTGGGCACCCTGGTTGTGAAAGGCTGATCTAGACTGCTCACCATTGTATTTCCTACTTCCTTCCTGTTGTTTCTCCACACCATGTATCTCTGGGCTTTTTTCTTGCAATGGCATATATTTCTTTATTGTATTAGTATTTGCATTGGGTTTCAGGGTTTTTACTCCCTACCTTTAGTGGATCTGTTCTTTATATTGACTCACGATAACTTTTTCAACATGCAGTATTGTCAAATATGAGAGAAAGGGAGAAAGAAAAATAAAAAGTCCTTCCTTTCCACTCCTCTCAAGAAACTTGTACAGTCCTACACAACTTTAAATATATATATGTTCTTTACATGATACTTGGCCTTTGTATTCCTCACATTCCTTGGTCTTCCAACCACCCAGCCCCACTACTCAGATATAGCTTTACAAATACAGATAGCAGAGACAGTGGAAGTTTACATCTTCAGCCGTTGCCCACAGCAACTCACTATCACCCTCTGAGGTTCCCTTCCCTCTGCCTCTATTTACCTCTCCTGTCCCGCTCTGAGACTCCTGTTCCAAATCACGCTCGAGTGGGGTCTGGGCGGTTATTAACAGTGCCTCATCCACAAATATCTCCGGGTCTCCTGGACTCCAAGGCTGACAGCCTGTCTTTGGGTCGGTGGAGTGTCTAAGCACTAGCTGGCACAGCCCTGTGTGTGCAGACACCCCTTGGGTCTTTCAGGCACCTTCACCTTCTGCCTCTCTCAGGGTCCTCTTCAGGGTCCTCTCCAAGGAGCATCGCCGTCAGTGAGCGCCAGATCTTCCAGGAGCTGGGATCTCAGCCCCACACTGCTGCAGTGCTGCCCTGCTCACCGGGCTCACACCACCACCTGTCACTGCATGGTCCTCATCAGTCCCGCCAGCTCCTCTCAGACCCCCAACCAGAGCCACTGTCCAGAGCAGGTAAGCTCACGGGGGTACCATCAAGGAAAGTCTGGCACAGGTCTAATCTGCATGGCGGGCATCAGGAGCTCCTGTGATCAACAGCCTTCTGGCGCCATGTTCAGGCCCCTCCCCCCCATACACTATCCAGATTCTAATCAGGACTTCCATCATTTTATATTTATTAGTTTATATTTACTTAGCTGGATCACTGGAGGGTCCTCTTGCCTATGTGATGTCGGGAGTTAACCAGTAAAAATCTTTGACATAATATTTGGCGACGTAAGTTGATTATGGAAAATGTTTGTCGCTTTGGAAATAAATATATTTATACGATGCTATCACCAACATTTTACTATTTTATGGAACTCTTTTGTTGTATTCTACTGTTCCCCCCTGAAGAAGATTAAAAATATAAACCTTATGAACTAAAATGATGGGGTTTTCTCTTTTCGGTGAATACTATGTACAGTGTATTTTTTTTTTTGTTTTTAAGTTATTTTAAGATTAGATCTAATAAAATGATATTTTACACATTTCTTTTTTGTAATACTTTGGTGCTTGCAAAGTCTCTGTTTTCAAAAATGTATGACTACTATTGTCCTGTGAGTGAGGTCAGGACCATATATGTTAAAAAGAAAAAACTATTCAGAAGAATGTGATCTCCCTGTGTAATGACACAGAAAGGGCATATCTCTTGCAGACCCTTTAAGGTAATATGCTTGGTGAAGTAAATCTGTGCTTCTGTCAAACACACAGCCATCCATACAGATCGATGAACCTCTTTGTTCTGCTGCTATTTATATCTACCAATAATTTTTACTAAGGATGCCATTACATCTGAGTGACCAGACCACAAGCTTAGATTACCATTTAGTTATTGCTGCAGAAGAAGACAAAGTTCTTGAAAGTTAGGTTGTTCACACGATTGTGTGCACGTAGTTTTAAATAATTTTGGAGAGGACAAATGGTTGCATACCATAGCTATTAGTTTTGCAGACCCACTCTGTTCCACTGCCAGGCAATACTGCTTTTCATTTAAATGCAGTCATCTCTTTGACTCTTCCACAATATGGACCTGGAAGACACACACAGTTCAAAGATTTTATTGTGGATATATTCTGTACATGCTTCTAAGGGACAATATAAGAAATGATCACAAGAAAAATATTCTTTTTTTTCCCAATAATATTTTTATTAGAATATTCTAACTGCACACATTTGTCCCTTTTGGAGACAAATTGAAACAGGAAGGAATATGTGTACTGTTCTTTATTTCATCATGGAGGGTAATGGTATTTAAGCTAAGCAATAACAACATGGCAGCTTTGTATACTGTGGGCTTTATGAGATTTGAACTTTGAACTAGAAAGGTTTAAAGGAGGTTGATACTCTCCATAACAGTGTGACTTTGACTGGAGGTTGATAAGGTCCAAAACAACATATAGAAAGGTGAAGGTTTTTTTTGCAGAAACTCTACTTGATATAACCTTGAACTTTGCAAGAAGATGAGAATATTCCAGACAGCACCTCTATTCAATGTCACATGGAGGATATGCACAACCCAAACATTCAACTGGATGTGTTCCATGCCAATTAAATTGCTTTGTACAAAAACTTCTCATGATATGTCAATAGATGTCCCATATTTAAGGTTGCAACCACCAGTGTATTATAAATGAATTTCACACCACTAATATTGAGGAAGGCAAAGTCATTTGAAGCAGTTAGCACCAACATGCTTTTGGCATGGAGCAGCTCCATGAGGATACAGAGAAGCAACACTTTGACGTATAGCTCTTTATTCATGTAATTACTTTGGGATTTTGAATGTAACCACAGAGCAAAAAAGTAATAAAGATAATGCATAATATCAATAATAAAAAAATATCAGTGTAAAAATGTATATTTGATTGGTGAAACAAATATAAATATAAGTGAAACTATATGAAAAAAGTCCACTGCCCCAAATCAATGGTGAAGAAAAAGTGCTCCAATACAAAAAAATTATTGCTAAAGGAAATCCAACATGCCCACACCATCTGTGACTTCCAATATGGCCTGCACTCACCAAATAGAATGGACTCCTAGATGATAAGGCTTAAGAGTCAAACAAGCTTTTAATTTAAAATGTGTCCTCCAAATAAATCCCAATCAGGGAGAGAAAATTCCTGCTTGACAATCTCCAAATGACCACCCACAGGGTAGATGAAATGCAAAGAGACAATAGGGACAGTCCATAGTGTAATACTACAAAACTCTTTAATATATTAAAACCAATGCATAATATGCGCTCCACTCAGCTGACGTGACGTCATGAGTTCTACTTTGGGACCGTAAATTGCGTCAACACGTTTCGCCCCTCCTCCAGGGCGTTATCACAGACAGTGATCTCCGGTTCCTGCTTCCAGATATACCTCACCACTACTCCTCCCACCTATTTAATTAGCTAATCCTTCTTGAATATGCTTCCACGGCTTATTCTACTGCTTCTACTGCAAATTCACTTCCTGATCAGAACCTTGCAGCTTCCAATCACAATACAATAATACAACATCTAAAATCGATCATATTCCATAGAAATCGATCATATTCCATAAAGTTAGATTAATTAATTAAAACAATATTATACAAATCATAATAAAAATAAAAATAAATAGAAATAATACAAAAAAAAGATTAATATATTATTTAAATTACATAATCACCAATAATCACCAATAATCATATACCTTGATCATAAAAAATTAATAATCAATCCATCAGCACTTACTGCAATTACCAATTAGATAGAAAGCAGTTCAAATCTATGTGGGCATTTAACCCCTTAGGGGCCAAGGTATTAAATTTTAGAATCCCCTTTGTTTTCGTTCTGTGAGACTGACCTCCTCATGTCACCACCATGCCAATGGTGTTCAATCCTGTCAATCCCATGGGACTTCAACATGATTGCCCACTTACTTTGAATCTGCCTCTGGTTTGTCCCCTTGGGTTCTCGCGGAGTCATACTTCCACAGCTCCCGGGTGAGGCTCCTCTGGCAACCACCATTTGGAAATATTGTCATATGTATTTTTAGCTGATTTATATTACATGTGCATGTACTTCTGAAGAAGTGAACTAATAGTCACGAAATTCGATTTTATATGGTCAATTGTATATCCATTTATGTATGAAATGCATTAATATGGATTTATTACAAATCAGCATGTTATCATTTTATCCTCTTTTTGTAAGCAATGACAAATGTATTCATTTATTAAAAATTAAAGTTGGAAACTAGTTATTCGTTGGCCGTGTGTGTTGTCCCTCATTTAAAGTTCCAGGACAAATACATTTGTTGTATTCTTTCTGATCTTCTGTCAAGATTCAAGGCACCATCTTTGCATACATTTTTCTAAATCCCAAATCCTCTGTTAGAATCTGACGCACTGTTTCCATGTTCATGTTCAATTCTTCTGCCATTATTCGCACACCCAATGTTTGATCTGAGCATACGAGGGTACATACTGTATCCAGATTTGCATCTGCTGATTGCATTGGTGGCTGCCTACTTCTTGTGTCATCTTCCTGTCCCTCCTTAAACTGCTTATGCAATTCAAAAACTCTTGATTTCTTCATGGAATGTTTACCATAAGCCTGCTGTAACAGAGCTAACATTTTACTTGTACATTTGCCAATTTTCACGCACAATTTGATGTTAATTTGCTGCTCCACATTGCTGTCACTCATTTTCCATCAACAGTGCAATGCACACATGTGCTATTTCTTTTACTACTCCGTAAAGACTGAGTCAACTAATGTGAGACCCAGGTGAGTGCAAGTTAGAACATCAGAACATACTCGAGTGTGAATGGTTGTGTGACCAGTGCTATGGCATGAGCATTCCAGGAATTAAATTGTCACACCTCATTATGCCTCAGACACTACTCCTTCATTACCCTACCAAAAAAAAAAAGGAGTGTCACACATCACTGAAATATGCTTACATATCATCAAAATATGCAATGGAACAGGGCTTATTGGCTACGAAGTATTAACTTATTAATTATGTAGTAAATATGAAAAAATATTTCTGGTAATAACAGATTAAACATAAACTGATGTATTTTAGCTGTAAGCCATCTAGTGGCATATAGAATTTCATTAGTCATCACTATTACTATGTTTTATAAAGGCAAATATGGATTTAGACACTTAAAATAATGTAGCAATTAGTTCACTTGAAAGGTAGACTGAATACTGTACCAGTGATCAATATAGTATTGATATAGATGGATACAAAATAGCAGTAGCACAATAGCACAGTCTCTCTGGTTTACTCATGTATATATCAGCATTGTCATTTTCAATGAACAAAAGCAATTTATCTTTTGGAATACTTTGCAACTTGAAGTCATATCACATCTATCTAGATGGTGAAGTATATATATTGTGAGATGGGGACACATAGCAGGTGCAATGCTCCCTGGGGTGAGCAGCATTTTCAGGCAAAGATTCTACTAGTCCAGTGGCTTCTTTCAAACAATGCTGGGTATGTTCATGTTATTTACAAGTATTTTCATAAGCGCTGCACAGTGCTCCCAAAAAAATAAAACAACATTTCAAAAACAAAGGTTAACTGTGTCCCTGTGCTAACTACACATCGATACAACCCTAGCTAGTAAACTAAGCAAGACGTAGGCTTGTCAACCACCAAATACACTGTTTGTTTAACCACTTGAGTACCAGCCTGTAATGCTCCTTTATCACCAGGCAATTTTTCAGTTTTCAGAACAATGATAATTTGAATGACAATTATTCCTTAGTGCAACACTGTACCCAAAATATTTTTTTTTTCTTGAGACAGATAAAGCTTTCTTTGGTGGTATTTAAAGTATTACTAAACCCAGGACTCTGCATTCACTATATCTGGTCTCCCACAGTACACAGAACATGGAAGTCCAATTATTTCAGCAAATATAAACTGCTAAATACCTTTTCTCATCAGCAGTTAGAGTAGTCTTGTGACTTCAGATGAGCACTGGTGAAAGCTTGTAGGAGGAGTTTTCTTTCTGCTCTAGGAGTATGTAGAACCTCTGCCTGGACAGTGTTGATTGGCCCTGTGCTGATCACATGCACTCTCCCCACACACACAAAAAAATCTCTCTAGCAATACACACACACTGCCCTCATGTGCAGAAGGGCTACGGATTCAATCTGTCTTACTAGTGTGGACATTTCAACAAGAGGAGGGGCAGCGAAGTCAGGATCAAACAGCCTTTTTACACAATGCAGATGATTAACCAATTAGGTTCCACAGTGAGTATAACAAGCATTCTTTACTGCATATACAGACTGATTTTACTGTTGTGGGTTTAGTAACACTTTAATAGCCAGTTGTTTTTTTTATAATTACTATAAAAAGGAAAAAAGAACACACATTTTGAAAAAAAACTGTTTACCTTACTTTCTGTTAAAATAAAAATGCCATAATAGTACAAAAATCCCCAAAATTCCCTTCTTTGTAAAGTAGACTCCAAAAGATGTTCTAATTTTTTGCCAAATTTTTTTGCAAGTGAAGAAACATACCAGTATTCAAGGAGTTAAACACAGTGCTTGACAGTAGTGCACTAGATACATTAAATGTAGAGGTACTACAAAGGGGAAGGAGGAAGTGAAGGTGTTAATGTACTGGTCACATACAGTGACAGGATGAAGCTAAAGGGGTTTATCTTCAGATGTGCAGGATAAGGCGTCAAATGGTTAATATACAAATCCCGGGGAGACAGCATGTGTATGTGTAGAAGAGGAGGAGGGCATCAAAGGGTTAAAAAAATGATCCATGTGTCACTGAAACAGAATGAATGAATCTGCAATCACTGATCTATTAATTCTTTCCCCATTCACAAATACTTGATCTCTCTCCTTCCCCTGTTGTAAAGAGAACAGTACCAGTAATCGATGAGCTCACCAATCACAGCAATCACATGGTACCCAGTATCTCTGTGTACTAAACAGGGGCGGACTGACAACTCATACTCATGGGGCCCCCAGGCAATAAGGGATCCTCGGGCCCCTGTGTCCTCACCCACACTTAAACCATACCCAAAAAAGCCTATGAAAGGTACCAGGGGAATCTCATGGGGCCCCCTTTTGACCCAAGGCCCTCGGGCAGTGCCCGAGTTCCCAAATGGTCAGTCTGCCCCTGATACCGAACCATCTATTGACAGCTAGGTAAGCATTACCATTACTATTACCAGGCAGATCAGCCACTTGATGGCTAAATATTTAGTGAAATTTATGAAAAGCACTAGTAAATATAGGGCCACCAATCCACTGTTTAAAGACGTACAACAGTAGAAAAAGGAATTACGGTTATGTTCACACCTACTTGCATGGTAAAATGCAGAATTTTGCAGTCAGACTAGTACCGTGTCAGCTCAGGCAGGGAGCTATGCAATACAGGTATTAGTGCATCACACAGCTTTTTTTTCCTTTAAGCTTTATTTGTGATGTCACATAGGAGTTTATTTACTAACCTGGAGAATGCAAAATCAGGTGAACTTCTGTATGAAAACCAGTCAGCCTCCAGGTTTTATTGCCAAAGCTTAATTAGGAAGCTGACTAGCTACCATGCACAGTTGCACCAGATTCTAAGTGCACCCGTTTTAGTAAATCATCCCCATAGTGACACTTCCTTTCTGTGACCACACAGCAGCATGGATCATCTTTTTGTTATGAGATGACGTGGTGTCATCCAGTGCACTGCCAAAAAATACAGACATGCTGCAATTTTCCACACTGCACTGAATGGTACACCATACCAACATTGTGGTGTGAAAGGGACATATGGAAAACAATTGTTTTCTATGTTATATATACAAATGTGTGCCACGCTTATCAATATGATATAATATTATATAATATAATCTTAAAAAGCTTTGTATCTTGGGTCAATAATAACTAAACACAATCTTAAATACATACTGTATATACAGAATGTGTTTGAACAACAAAAATATCCATTTCAAATGAAATAAATGTGAACATTACCCATCAACATGCAAAAACATAAAAGTACAAGTCCATACTTCAGTCTTGATATGAAACCACCAAAAACCAATGTGCTTCACCACCAACCCTTGTGCACAGTTGCCCACCTTAATGGGTGGACTTTTCAAAATAAAAAAATGTCTAACATAGCATGTTCTCTCATTGTAAGCTGGGAAAAGGTATAACCGCTGATACACAGTAGAAATCCCTCCACATAAAAGGTCTCAAACCAGATGTTATGCTCAAAAGAAACAATAAAAATACAGATTGCTTTTCTTTTAAAATAGAGTAAAACACATTTATTAAAATTATTGCATTCACATGTACTCAAAAGTTCATCAATTACAGTCTCACCTCTCATCAATTTTAACCATGCAGCCTTTAGAGCGAGAAGGGGAGCAGCGTTTTAAAGCAGTGGGTGTGAGTGCTGGAAAGACTTTGCATTAAAGCTGGCCACAGCTGGTTTGAAATCTGGTCGGTTCAGCAAGGACCGGTTGAGATTCAAATTACATTGGGGCAAAAAAGTATTTAGTCAGCCACCAATTGTGCAGGTTCTCCCACTTAAAAAGATGAGAGAGGCCTGTAATTGGCATCACAGGTAGACCTCAACTATGAGAGACAAAATGAGAAAAAAAATCCAGACAATCACATTGGCTGATTTGGAAAGAATTTATTTGCAAATTATGGTGGAAAATAAGTATTTGGTCACCTACAAACAAGCAAGATTTCTGGCTCTCACAGACCTGTACCTTCTTCTTTAAGAGGCTCCTCTGTCCTGCACTCAATACCTGTATCAATGGCACCTGTTTGAACTTGATCTCAGTATAAAAGACACCTGTCCACAACCTCAAACAATCACACTCCAAACTCCACTATGGTGAAGACCAAAGAGCTGTCGAAGGACATCAGAAACAAAGTTATGTAAACAGGAGGCAGAGATCTTGAGCCCAAAAGTTGAGATTTCCTGCCTTTAGCACAGGACACCTTACTAGATGCCGGGGAGATGTTCTTGTGCTCAAGGAAAGAGAGAAAAAGAAAGGTGCATGGGGGGATTGACAGCTATGGATTTGAATGTATTCCCTGACTGGGGACAAAGAAAAGGCAAATTTATTATATACCTTCTTCAGCTCTGTGTATACAAAGGAGCATGGGGGAGCTCTTGTACACAATGGGCATGGTGTTGACACAACTGATATGATCCAGGAATATTTTGATAGAATAAAGGTGAATAAAGCACCTGGCTTGGATGGCATACACCTACAGGTCCTTAAAGAAGTGAACTCTGTCATTTCAAAGCCATTGTTTCTAATTTTCAGGGACTCTTTATTGACTGGCATAGTAGCACTAAACTGGCATAAGGCCAATGTGGTGACTATATTTAAAAAGATCAAAGATGTAAATGGATAGAAAACTGGCTAAAAGTTCGTATTCAGAGAGTAGTGGTTAATGATTCATACTCCGAATGGTCTAGGGTTGTCAGTGGTGTACCCCAAGGTTCAGTGTTGGGACCCTTATTTTTTAATATATTTATAAACGATATAGGGTCTGAGATTAAAAATACAGTTTCAGTCATTGCAGATGACACCAAGTTTTGCAGTGGAATAACGTCCTTACAGGATGTCTCCAACTTACAAGCTGACCTCAATGCACTGTTTCATTTGGTAACTATGTGGCAAATGAGGTTTAATGTTGATAAA